ACCAAGTTTACAAGGGTGGGTATTGAACCCACCAGATACCCACCATAAGAGAGGGGAAATGCACTGCAAGGCAGCTCTACGGCCGCTTGGCTCGAAGGGCCAAGTGCTTAACTATTTTATTTTAAAACTAATAAAATTAACATTTTTACATTAAAAAAATATAAAATTAACTTTCTTATTTACAATTTCTCGTTAACTAATTATTTTAGAGTTTTGAACCGAATCTTTAGGTCCAATGGTTCGATCTCAAGCATTAAGTGCTTGGGTGAGGTAGTCGAAATTTCGAACTCTGCCAACGTCGTGAACTCCAGCAAAAACGACCTGATGGCCTTACGCGTTACGCCTCATTTGAGGAAATGGAATGTTCACCCAGTCTGATGATCGAATTCCCAATTACTAACAATTAATTCATACTAATTTTTTAACTATTATCCTTGTAAAAAAAAAAAAATTTATTTTAGAGTTTCACCTAGCGTAGCCTAAAAATCAACATTTTGTTCTTGTAATCTCTTGTTGGCAAATTTTCAATCTTCGAGGACGGAAGTCACATCAAAAGTAGGTAAAATCTTAGTGATTTCCCAGTCTCGTTTTCAATTGCTCTAACTGATACATTGTTACAGCAAACCGGTAGTCATTTATAGAACGTTGATAATTACTTATCCCAAATGTTTTTATTAATTTCTTTTAAATAACTGACATATTTCACTTCTGGAAAGCACCTGCAGCAGGTTTATTAAAATTAAAATTTTAGTTTTAATTTTTATAAAATCAATCTTCCTTCCTTTAAATTTCCCATGATCAAATAAAAAAATTTTCACTTTTGAAAAAAAGAAGAAGAAGAAGTGATTTTTTCCATTGCACATCTTCAACTGCAAAAAGCTGTGAAAAATAAACACATATTTTCCAAAAATAACAATGGGTAAAAAATACCCGTATTTGGCCAATTATGTAGATCCCAATGTTCAGAAAAGAGAGTAATGACACGCAGACTTTTTTTTTTTACAATTTCTTTTTATAATTTTTTCATTTCTTTAAATTAGGCTTTGTTTATGTATAAAAAAAAATTAAGTATATTCATTGGAGCTTCTAATAGATCTAATTCATGTAGTATATTGTCTAAATTTTAATTTATTGTTTATATTTTTATTAAATTTAATTAATATTTTATATATTTTTAATAATAAAAGACAAAAAACTTCTTATTACAATATAACACAATACAACATAATATTACTAAATTAATCTTCATATATATAATATTATAAATTTTAATAAAATAAAAAATAATTTATTAAATAAATAATATATAAAATTATATAAAAATAATATAAAAAATTCATTCTTAAATAAATTTCCGTGAAAAGATAATAGTGGGGGAATAGGGCACATGGCCATAGCAGCATCACATCTCATCCTCATCTCTATGATTTTGTCTAGTGTACATATATATTTTTTTAATCTCTGGGTGGGATATTTTTCGGATGCAATATCCAAATTGGATTGTACTACAATGACTTCCCCGAGAAAATGACTCTTTTACACAAACACACTGCATTTTGCATGCGGAAAATATCAGGGGCAAAATGATAAAAGAGATAATAGCACTTCGGTCCAACTGCAAGTTGCCACTGATGACCCTAACACGTGAATTCAACTAGTTTGAATCTTTTAGCTTCAATTTAGGTGGTAGTTGTACTCCCACACAAAGTTATTATGGTTATATAATTTTTTTAATATTATTTTTGAAAATATTAATTTTAACTTAATTATTAAAAATAATTAATGATTATCATTATTAATTGATATAGTAATTTATTTAATAGATAATATTTATTAATTAATAAATTAAAATTAATTTATTAAATAATATATTTAAATATTATAATCAACCATTAAAGAGAGAAAAGTAAAACCTTCCCTCTATTTAGTGACATTATTGTTTTTTATTAGTTCTTATTATACATTTTGAAAATTTATACCATGCATAACAAATGGTTGATTTTTGCTTTTGATTTCAACTTTCAATTTATATATATATATATATAATTGAGTTATACAAAAAAAGATAAACTTCTATATTCCTAAATCTCTCCTCATTCAACTTAAAACTTAAATTTAAGATTTTTAATTTAGATAAGTTTCAAGTTCTAAATCACTTCATTAGGGTTTTCAACTTTTAATTGTTAGTAATTAATTTTAATTAACTTAGTTGGAGTCAATGTTTCTTTCAACCAAACATTTTTCAAAGCTGAGGTCTTTTCCTTTTTATTTTATTTTGTTTTATTTAAAGAATATTTTCAAAGCTGATATCTAATCTGAGAAGAGGCGAAATCAAGTTTGAATAAAAAAATATATAACCAAACGAGTCCAACTTGAACTCAACAGTATTTTGGCTTATCCCAGCTGTTTTCCGCCCCAAAATGACATGGAGATAAATGCCCATTTCCTCGCTTTTCTTCCACACCATTGACTTAGCAATATTCTGCTGCGTATAAGACATGTACACCATAGTTTACTTGTCGACAAAATGATATGGAACCCCCCTGGAATCTACGTGTAATATTGACACATAAATGTTCAAATCAGCAACAAAAATGGAGTTTGAAAATTATAAAGGAAAAAAAAATCCCTTGCGTATCATAGTCATGCATACATGATACGTGGAACTGAGGCAGAATCCATCTGTCAAACCAGATATTCTTCTTTATATACCGATCCAAACTAAGCAGAGCCATGCCAAATCTAGCTCAACGCAATACTTCTCAGATCTCTTCATTCAATTTTTTTTTTTCCATTAAAATTTTTTTCTACTTCCTTGCATCGTAGTTCATCTCTATATTTCTTTTTCCATAGAATTATTCTTGTTACTTGTTTTGATCACAACGAAGAAAAGCAGGGAGGCATGGAGAATCCTCTGTTTCTCAAGTCCTTGAATCACATCTCACTTGTGTGCAGATCAATTGAAGATTCTCTCAATTTCTACCAAAATGTCCTGGGCTTCCTTCCCATCAAGAGGCCCGGTTCCTTTGACTTCACTGGTGCATGGTAATGTCAACTTCTTGATCCTTGAAAACAGTTGGTTTTCTCATAAATATCTCGTGTTTTGCTTAGTCACACCTCCTCTGTTTGCAATTCAACTTTGGAATCACAACTGCGAAGCTACAACAATAGTTCTTTTGTGTGGTTGTTCGGAATAATGTTTTTTTATCAGTTTAAACTGAAAAAGATATTTTTCTGTGTTATATTTTCTCTTTTTGTTTTTGTATTGATAGGAAATTGTTTTGATTTTTGGCTAAAACAGGCTATTCAATTATGGTATTGGCATACATCTCTTGCAGTCTGAAAACCCTGAAACAATGCCCAAGATTGGTCCAATTAATCCCAAAGATAACCACATTTCTTTCCAGGTACAAATTAAGATGGAGATATGTATATAAAGAGTCATGCAGAATTGTACATATATATAAGTATTTCTCTTGATATCTAAATTTGTACTGAAAGCAGCTGTTGTTTGCAGTGTGAGTGCATGATGACAGTGGAGAAGAAACTGAAGGAAATGAACATAGAATTCGCAAAGGGTAGAGTAGAAGAGGGAGGAATCCGTGTTGATCAGCTTTTCTTTCATGACCCTAACGGGTTAATGATTGAGGTATGCAACTGTGACATCTTGCCTGTGGTTCCACTGCCTCAAGGGACCATCCAATCGTGTTCCCGGATCAATTGCGACATCCAGCAAATGCAGCAGCAGAATGACCAAGCAGTGGGAGGTCGTCAGTGACTGTGGGCACACTTCTACTAAATTGGTTGGGCAAAAAAATCTGAAATGTTAAGGATGCACGCCTCTCTCTCTCTCTCTCTAATTTCCTTGATCAGAAATATGTTCATTTCTAAAGAAAGGGAGGCTAACAACAGTTTTCCATTTAATGAATGTCTTGTTGAACCCCTGATGCAAATAAAATTGAGAGAGAAAATATACAAGTTCATCTCCAAACTACCCGCAATTTTGCTAGTTATGTGAATTCTCATTTCCTGCCAAAATAATGCAGTAGATTTTAATTTATGAATAAAAAAAGTTTCACTACTTATGATTATATCATATCGAATGGACAAATGAAGGATTATGTATACACCACGAATAATTAGGAGAATTTGGAGCTCCCTCCGTCCAAAACAGAGGAAAACAAGGTAAATATGGATAACAGTATATAAATATAAAGGAACAAGGAAGAAAGATAAGTGGATCTATAACCCTAAAGAAGAGTTTGTTATTCTTTCTTGAATTGGAAATGACATAATTTCATTACATAAGATTATAAATTTATAATTATTATGTGATATTAAATAAATAAATGGATAATCAATCATATACTTTTACATTATAATTATAAGTTTATAATGTTATATGACATTTTAACTATATAAATTTCATTCTGGAATTACTTACTATAGGTCCTGTGGGATGCATGAGGGGAACGTTAATAGCCATTTATGTTAATAGCAAAGGCCTAGGTTGCGAATTAAAACATAAATAGTTTGAAACCAATTCTGTTTCTTTAAAGAATTCTTCGAGTATCAAGTTGTTCTCTCCTTTGTTTCCTCTGTTGGAATGGTTATATGGGTTTGATTTTCAAAGAATAATTTGGTAATTTATCCCTGATTTATCTAGATGGAGTGAATTGGAAATTTGAGGTTCTGGGGGTATGTGGAGATGGAAGATAGCTCTTTCCTTCTTCCCTATTTACATTAGAATTTGCCTTTTGAATTAAATGGTCCAAGGAGGTACATAGCTTGAAGTTTGACTTTTTTTCTTTTTATCAGTAAACATGAATTTTTTTATTATTAAAAAAATATAAAGGATCTTTAGTTTATTACTTCTACCGCAACAGAGATACACATTAATAATTTTTTTTAACATGTTATAATTATTTATAAATTAATTAAAAATAAAAATAAATTTTTTTGTAAAACTCAAATATACCATTTATAAAAGATAAACAACCTTAACTTAGATTTCAATATCAGATGTACTGGAACGGACCGTTCACTTCAATAACATTTTGTTCACGAAAAACATGACACATCATATAAAATCTTACATGCAAGCTGATAAGTTTAGACAAATAAAAAAACAGCTCGTGAACAGAGTAACATTATTTTTTAACTTTAACGTTTTTGATACAGTCCGAATTTGAATCGCATCTTTTAAAAAAAACCCTTTGATACAACCTTCTCATCTACCTTGCAATCTTCCTTTTCTTGCTCAAACTCTACTGACTTTGAGTCGGTCTTTGCTAGTTCGATAATTCTCCATCTCGATCTCCGACGCCTGGGCTGGTCCAGTCGTGCAGAGGCAGGTGGCTATGGGTTAGTCTTTTCATGCTCTTGTGCCCATTGTGGTTGAGTGCAGGTTCATTATGAGAGGGACGGAGGTTCATTGAACATAATTTAGAAGATATTCTGCAAAGAATATTTCCGATTTGTTTACTCTTTGATATTAAGCTACCATGGCTACTCTCATCCTGATTTTGGGTCAGATCCAGAAAAGGAGGAACAGCACTCGTTTAGGGAGGCGCAAGGTAGATGAGAGAGAATATGAGATGATTAGCAAAGAAATTTGCAACAATGTTTTTTTGAGAGATGCAAGAGCTTAAAGATTGGTTGTATTAAAAACGTTAAAGCTAAAAAATAGAGTATAACGCCTGTTAACGTGGTGTTTTTCCGTTTGTCTAAGCTTCTCAACTGACATGTAATGTTTATATGATGTGTCATGTTTTTAGTTGACGTGCTACCCCGATGCACTAATGAATTTCTCCATAAACAATGAATAGTACTACAAATCTATCTCAATCAGCTTCATTTGTGGCGGCTGTCAAATTACAATCAACTTGATATATTCCGTCGCTGCAAAGCCAATTTGGGAGAAGAACACCGACCTTCCTTGGATAGATTAAGCTAACGTTTTGCTTGCAGCCGAAATTAAAGAAGAATCTTAATTTAATTTGATCCAGAATTTCGTCATTGGTAGCATTTTCCCCTTTGAAGTTTGACCTGTTTCTGTTTCTTCCCCAAACACAAGAAAATAAGTAGGATGAAGGTTTGAGAGGGCTAGGCAGGATTTTGCTGGATGTTGTGTGTACCCTTGTATGTGGTAGGCAGAATTTTGGCTGAATATGATGTATAAATCTTGATTTTATGCGGGTTTAACGTTTGAGCACCCTTGGATTCTAAAGGTCTGTCTAATATAATGGTTAAAATTTAACAGATAGTGAGTAATAGATAGTGAATAACGCATAATAAATAGTGGATAATAGTAGTGGGTAACGAGTGATAATTAGTTGATAGAGAGTGATGGATAGTGGGAAGTGGGTAACAAATAGTAGATAACGGATTTGATTAATAAAACTATTTAGTTATATAATAGTTAGCAATTATTATTTAAAATTAAATGACTAATAAGAATATGTTAACAAATAATTAAGTGCATTTTTTATATATTTTTTATTATTAAAACTATTACTTTTATAATAATAATAATAATAATAAAATTATAATAATGTAAT